TTTGCTTAAATTTCAAACGAAAATGGCTTTAGCAAAAAATACTAATATTATATGGTACGTTAATGTCAACGGGGCAAGAAATGTCTCCCTTAATTTTTAACAACCATCTGTGTCGCCTTTGCGAACTGGCCTTATCCAAGTACTGTTATGTTTTTCGCGTCAGTTCTGTAAAAGGCTTAGATAATCGCATCTTTCCTATCGCAGCCATTTTAAAACATAAACAAGTAGCCTGTGTGAGAAGAAAAATGCTGTTTACCATATTCAAATATCTCTTTTCGTTCCAGAGATATTCAAGTTTATAAAATATGCAAATTAGCCCAGTGATGACGTCATGCACTCAATCAAATTTTGACCAAATATGATGAAAAAAGATATCTCAGCCAATTTGTAGCAGAAATGTTTGCTTCTTTGCAGTAAGATTCTACTTAATGTGCCCCACAATACGAGCTTAACAGTTTGGTTACCATGGCAACATATTGGGTTCCAGACCTCCTCAATATTAAAGGCATTTCTGGCAACCTTTGGCGTTCCATTATGATATTTGGAAATGATGCCTCATATGCTTGATCCAGCAGGCATATAAATACGTTAGCTCAAGTTTGTGGCATCGTTTAATGTTTTGCTAGCTGAAGATCACTAACATATTGAAATCAAGTGGGTGAGGACCGGAAAAGACTGAGTTGCCATGGGAACAGAGTTTTTTGTAGCTGTAGGTGTGTTTCCTGTGGAACTATTCGCCTGCCAAGTTACAATGGGCTGTGCTGCAAATTGACCAAGATAGCTCTATTTATATACCTGATATAAAATTGGGTTGAGTGTATGACGTCATCAGGCATCTCATGTGCATATTTTACACATTTTTCAAACTTAAATATCTCTCTTGCAAACGGTAAACGGCGTTTTTCTTCTTTCATGGAATTCTATATGATACACCTATAATATCAAGGGGGGGGGNTTTGATCATAGTACCACTTGAGCCCCGACACAGGATTTTAAACTCTTGAAAAGATCCTGCACAAGGTTTCGAAGTCGAAACCAAAACAGCTCCATAACCTGTTCAACGTTTAAGATTTCAAACTGAAGTTATTACTTTCAACTTTTGAATTTCATGCTTACCTCAGCTCCGCGATACACATAATTTTCGTCCTTCGCGAGGTCGCCTGAGTGTTCGTTGTCGTGTTCATAAGTGGCGTTATTCAGATCACATTTGTGTTCTCCATTGTTTTTAAAATTATAACTGACGCAGTTTGGTTCCAGGTAGCATTGCATTTCACAGAAATCCTCATTCATGACGCCAATAGTACGTATCACGTGATTATTCAGCCGGTGACCATGGATTGGAGCACTTTTGAACCTCAAATTGCGACAGTGACCTGAAAAAAGTAAACATTGGCATACTATTCCTACACTCAAATATAACTTTCACGGCAAATAGAGCAAAAGAGCAATTTCAAAGCCGAAGGTGGACGACCCGACTCGAATTCATATGCGGCTACTTAGCCTGTGAACGCAGATGTACTTCCGGCTGTCGCCTGTCTCCACCGAAAATAACGTGTTATTTTAGGCGGAGACAAGCGACAGCGGAAATACGTCTGCGTTCGCTGGCTAGCGGCCATTTAACCACGTGCACCTGAAATTCCGCTGACCATGCTCGAGCTAAACATACCCGAACAAGCGCATTCATTATTCAAGGTAATCGAATGTAAGTGTAAATGTAAATCTTATTTATAATGGTCATGCAATTAGCTATACAAGCACTAAGCTTGGCTAGTTTACACGCATGTCACTAAACCAAATTAAGGAAACAAATATTTCAAATAAAAATAACATAGTTAAAAATCCTAACGGGCAGGGGGGGGGGGAGGGCGCAGACCAGT